GGAAATGTTGGAGAAATATTTGGTTGGAGTTGCAAAATATTTAATAATTTTCAGGCTATGTTTATAGGGAATACGAGTGATTTCATCAATTAATCTCAGATCTTTATTTACGAAAGGTTAATCAAATTTGAATCACCTTGCTTGCAAACCAACAATTAAAACAAATATTGCAAAAATAAAATAAAAATATTCATTTATCTTTCTGTATATTGCAGCTACTCTTAAATGCGAAACTTCCGTTTTCTTTTGATTCCAAACAGATTATGGTTCCGGTTTCTTCTTTTAGTTTTTTCCTCGTTTGACTTCTTTTATCATAAATATTATTTTTTTTTCCTAATTTTTTATCCTATTCATAAATATTTTTAACTGTAAGAATGGAAAACAAGAGAAAAAAATAAAAAAAAGGAAATAGTTTTCAAAAATTTTCCAAATATTTGAAATAAATGAAGCCTCCCAAGAAATTTTCATTTCTGTTATACAATTATGCTTAAATATTACATACACAAACATTCTTCTCTGTTTATTGAAAATGCTCCAAGCATATAGCAATGGTGGAATGTGTGTTGTATATGCAAAAGAGGAAGAAATTTATCAAATTAAACTTGTTGCCATTCTATTCTAATAAGATTTTTTTTATACACACACATATATTATATAGATATACGAATATGTAGGTACACTCAATATTTTTGTAAGGATTCAACCTTCTTCCGATGTTATTCAAGTGGAGGAATAAATTTTTTTTTTAATTTTTTTTTTATTCACACATAAACTTTTCAAATAATTTTATTTTAGGTTTTTTGTTTGTTTTATTTTTTTTTGGTATTTTTTTTATAAATTTTCTTTCATAATTTTCACAAAACACACCTCTCTTATATCTTAACTTTCTTATACTCTTGGAATACAAAAACAAAGTTAAGGAGTAAGAAAATAATATGAATAAAAAAGTTCAAAAATATTTTTTTTTTTTATGAACGATAAATTTTCATTTTAATTTGTATAAGAAAAAAGGAGGAAAAAAAATTCATATGCTATTATGAACTCAATTGTCCTTTACCAGTATTCTTTGTATTCCAGCGCACTGATACAAAACTAATAGCATAAGATTGAATGAAATTTAAACGTAGACAGATACGTACAAGCCCAGCGTTGTTTTAATTCGGGTAAAGAGAAAAGTAAATTTTATTGCAATAAATGATTTTCGTTTTTAGAAAAAACATTTTTCGAAAAATGTAATGATAAACAAATTGTAAATTACGGCTTAAATCGGATTTATTTAGCTATGATTTTCGTTTTGATTTCATATACGTTTTACACCGGCTTTTTTAACGAGAAACCTTACAAAACATTTCATTCTTTAACTTAATGGAAATTTCTTCATGCAACTGCAGAACAGATGGAACTGCAGAACCGTGGTAGGTCACTGGTTCGAGTCCAGTTCGAGGAGAAAAATTTTTTAATTAATTTTTCTGCCTTTAACTCGTTCCTTTGATTACGTCATCCATCTGTTCTGCAGTTGCATGAAGAAATTTCCATTAAGTTAAATTATTAGTATAATAAGCACATTACTTATTAATTTCACAACTATGATGTTGTATTAGTAAAATTCATAATATTTCACTCTTTGTTTTTCATTACGTTTTTCACACTTATGCAAATAATCCCGTTTTATCATTCTAAATAGAAATAGCTAAGTATTCCTAATTTACGAATGCATTTCCTGCCTCATAATTCGTAATTATGGCCATGTAATATTAGGTAAACAAATTAAAAACGGATTTAATTAAAAAAACACGGGACATTTAGAGAAAATTTTCAGTATGACGATTTAAAATACAATGGGGCTTGTGTATATTATGTATATATTGTGCTTGCGATTATGTACATAATTACATACTTTAAATTTTTTGAAAAATTTTATTAATTTAAAAAACGCAATAGTTTCGTTAATTGATCAAAATTACTTTATAATAAAATTTTGTTTTGTTAGTTCGGTTACTCATAAAGTGCCTTTAATACCTATATGTGACATTAATTTGCCTCTGGGCGCGAGATTTACTATTTATGTTCTGGAGAATATGAATTGAGTTGACCAAATTTTCTTCGAAAATCTCTAACTTTCGTTAAGAGTTTTCGTTATAATTTAGTTCTTATAAATTATTTTCAATATATTAATCAATAACCAGAATTCTTTTTAAATAAATATCAAAAGTTTATGGCAAGCAATAGCGTATCTTTAAAAAAAATAAATTTCAAAACTACAATATCGTATTTAAGGCGAATTTCAATTGCAAATTGACTCAAAACACATTTTGATTTCTTGGCAACTGTTAATACAAAAGCAACTGAAGTGGTATATAAAATTTTGCATTTACTGTAACAAAAATGCTATAAAGTTTATTATAAAAAATGGAAAGTATTAGAAAAAAATTAAATTTCTTTTTATTATAATATAAAAACACCTGAAGCCTATACAGAAGAGAAGCCTAAAATGTATATGTACCTTCCTACTAAATATGCAAGAAATTCCATTAGTTTTTGTTAGTTTTTCAGTTTCCCTTGGTAAGTTGGTAGGTACACGTTATAATTTTAAAGAAACAACCAAAATATTTTAGTGTTAAGATGAATTTTTTTGTAAATAAAAGTAAAATAAAAAGAACATGGAGAAAACTGAGATGAAAAATATGAAAAAAGAATAAAGATATTTAAAAGTACTTAAATTTACGTACATAGAATGAAAACAAGAGCGAAAATGCAAAAGAGAAAAGGATGAGAGAGAAAGTAAAAAGTTTTAAAAAAGTCTTTTGCATAAAAACTTTCTCTTTTACAAATTTTGATAGGTGTATGTAGGTGTAACAAATTTCCTCTGAATTTAAATTTAATAATATAAACTAAGTTTGAAGTTAGACAGAGTTATCATAGGATGATATTATGGATTGCATATTTTCTTTTGCAGTGCTATCGAAAAATAAAAATATGTGTGATGAGTCGACAATTTAGATTTAGTCGTATTGCGAAAGATTGCTTTAGTTCGTATTTCTCTTGAATATTAATTTCTCATTTTCCATATTATATGTTTAGTTTGGAAGTCCTTCATCGTTTCGCTAGAAGCGCTCAGCGTGAGTTGTTGAGAATAATTTTCAAAAGAATTCTTTAAAAACTCATTCTTTTTATTTATTAAATAAATTTGTTTTTCGCAATTGGTTTTAGGATTGTACAGAAAATAATGATCTTGAAATAGGTTACTCTTCTATTTTGAATAGCTTTACTTTAACCTAATAAGTTACTTTCTCTTTTGGGTAACTCTTCGTAATTTTGAGTAGCGAATGCAATAGTCTCCGCATTGATAAAAACATTAGCAAAGTAAAAAAGAAACTCGTTAGTGTCCTCTTTAAGAAGGGAGAAAAACAAAATATCTAACTTTAATTGTCGTGCCTTGAAGATTAACAGTTCTTTTTATTATAACAGTTTTCTTTTTCATTACAATTAGTTTTCAAATTAATTTTTTTGCTTAACATTATAAAAGTTAAAAGAATTTAGAATTAACTTTCATTTAATGTTGTATACAGTTTAAGTTATTAAATACTCGAGGAAAAGTAAATTATTATAAGAAAAGAAATTATTTAAGGTTATTTCTTATGCAATATACATAGAATAGTTAAGAAACAAAAAGGAAGAAAAAACTTTCTTAAGTAATTTAAAGTTGACAAATGTAAGTAAAAAATTTTGCTTTTTGTTTTAATCAAGAATAATTTAGTTAACATGGTAAGTTGGTAATTTGATAACATTTGAACCAACTTTTTTTTTCTTATACATTAATTTGCGGTAAAATTTTTCTTTTTGATTTATTTTATTTAAAATTTATGAAAATATTTTCTTTATTGGAGCTCACAGTTTTAAATCCTTGCAATTATGCATTTTGAAAATTTATTCGTATAATGAATAATTTGATATTAAATCTTGGTGTTGTTTATTAAAATTTTATTACAATAAATTTATTAGAATTTTGAAAAGAACAGATGGATATGTTTAATAGGATAATAACAGAGAGTATGTTTTACAGGGTAATGGGAACTATTGAATATATTTTACAAGGATAATGCATAAAATTCCAGAGGATTTTTGGAAGGTCCTCTGTAATAGGTTTTGGAAAAAGTAAACTGTAATTAGCCTGTAAATCGCTAAAAATTATAAATGAGAAAATGCGGATCGCTTTAGAGTGTTGTGTCAAACAATTTTTTTTCTATTTCAGTTCTCTAGCAAATAAAGAGTTATTACAATTGTTGTTGTTATGAATTTCATGATTGAATTTTGTTTGTCATTCAGTTCTTACTTGGAGGATTAGTAGGCATGGCTTTCCTTGCTAACATATAGTGGATTTACGCTGTCCTTGCTAACAATAGTGTAAATGTTTGCTTCATCTAGAGAAAATATAACTTTCGATTAATGAAATTTTTTATATTGTATAAATTGCATAAGACGTTTAGAATAATTTGAAAAATAATTAAACACAATTAATAAACACAATAAAAGGATCTCATAAATAAACACAATAAAAGGATCTCATTTTTGGAAAATATGTATATGCGATTATTTACCGTAACATTAATTTTGACATCGGATTCAACTCAAGCTGTGAGTAACTTATTAAATTTTGACGTTTGTATTTTCTTAAAAAAAAATTTTTTTAAAACAATTCGATTGTTATCTAAATTGTTATTACCTAGTTACCACAATAGCAACTTTAAATTTAGAAGATTTTGTATTAGCAACTAGTTGCTAGGCTAATCATTTTGTAAACAAAATTTGTTTAGAAAATATATACATAAGTCAGATTTTATATTCTTTACACATATTTCTAGAGTTTATTTATAAAGTTGTCTGTTTTAAAATTTTATGTCAGAAAAATTAAAAAAATATAAAATTTTTATGTTCAGTTGATATATGTGTACATATTGCTTTATGTTTCTCTGTGGTACTATTTAAAGTAAACAATAACAATGAAAACTGAAGAACATCACAACTTTGATCCTTTAAAGCCAATTGGTAATCATGATGATATGAGAACAGCATATTACAGAGGTCATCGTCATTTACGTGATCCACCGGCAACAGCCACTTTCAGTAAAGTTCCAGAACCTGAATATATTTATAGTCGACAACCAACCGTTGATCTAAAGAATGAATCAGAAACAAAGGAAGTTTATGTCAGAAAGGTAAAATGACGCAATAAATTTTGATATAGTAGAAAATTATTTTACAATAAATTCTAGCCATTTAATCCTGGCTCTATTCAAAATCCTCATTTGGAACTAGACAAAGTTTATAGTATGAAAGATTTAGATGAAAAGCAATATACAAGTGCACCGAAACCAATTAAAGAATTTCGTACAGTAACTGGCACTGATTATGAATATAAAGTTGAACCTATTAGAGAAAAACCAGTTATTTTGCGTCCTACATCATACAAATTAAAGCAACCTGATTTAGTAATTGATCCGGCAAAACCAGGTTTCACTAAACATTTAGACATGATGGCAACCACAAATTTATTAACTTATGTTCCATATACGGAAAAAGGTCTTCAACAGAATGATATTCTTACAGTTTGGAATTGGATTGGTTTTTACAAAAAAAATTTTTGTTCAGCAATGGAAACAAGAAGGCCAGTATGCTTAAGTGATGTCAAAGAAGAATTATGTCCAAGAGGTGAATCTAATATTTGTCCGAGAAAAAAACCTGAATTCCCTTCAATTATTAAACCTGTACCAAATAGTGGATTTACATCAGAAACTCGTGACAATTATAAAATACCAGTATGTCAAGAGTTTGATATTAAATTTGAAAAACGTGCAATTATAAAACCACATGATAGTTTAGTTCCATACATGGGAATGAATAAAATATATGGCAGTGGGCAACCAGTCGATAAATTTGTTTCAATTAAAGATTATAAAAAATTTGAGAAATAAAATATTATTTAGTAAATGCGGGAAAATTTTGTGTTATTATCGAAATTAAATATTTATGGATTTAAAATTTTATTAAAGATTAGAAAAGAACAATACCAATAAGTTTTTTGAAGTCATATATTATAATTGAAATCTGGAGTTAATTTCACGTTCGTAAAGTTTGCCGAAAAGAGTTTCACATCTATATAGTGTTCAAAAGTAAGGTATAAACATAGGTTTAACTGTGAAATAAATCTTGCCTTCCATATTGAAAAACACACTTTCAAAATTATTTATAGTATGTGATATGCATGGTTATGCATGGTGATGTAGATTTTCTCCATATATCTAGCTATCCGTGAAAATGATATTATAATTCTATAAATTTCACATAAAATAGAAGAATCAATATTGTCGTCCTTTTTAAGTACAATAATAATATTGAACATTATTAACAGTGAAATGACTTCATTAAAATTTCTCTACACAATAGGAAACCTTTTTTATGTCATAAAAATTAAAATTTGATACCATTCATGTACCTTTAACTTTAAATATGTATATATACTTTAAATTTTCTATTTTTAACCATATTCTTTTATATTATATGCGTAGATCTTAAATTAATATAATTTGTGTGATACTGGGGTCTTCAATAATGAAAATAGAATTGAGAAAATAGTGACAATCTAAAAGTCATAAGGATGAGTAAAGTGATAAAAGAGTTTTTACATTAAAGTATAGAATATGGGTAATTTCCACTTCACTCCATAATTAATTTTAAAAATAAATTACCAGAGCACGTCAGACTTAATTAATTATAGACTGAATTTTTTCTTCAATTGATTTTTGATTTCTGTTTAAATACGGCTCATTACTGTGCTCAAAATGATAATAGAGTTAAGTATCGTTTTCAAAACTCAAACGGAAATTAATAACTTTAAAAGTATTGGTAGCAGATGAAGCTACAAAATCATTTAAAACGGATTATGTTGTTTCTAATAAATTAAAACATAGCTTTATTCAAAAACCGGGCACAACTGAATTGTAAAATTGCACATGAAAGATTTGAATAATCGGACTTAAAAAATAGGAAAAGAACAATATCAACAATAACGCAACAACAGACGCCAATGCTACCCAATTTTTCGATTGTTAAAAAAGAATATTTTTTATTTTCATTTTGTTCGGCACATTTTTAAGCTTTGCACGTTAAGGTTATATTCTATAATCTGCAAACCAAACTAGGGGGTTTTCGTTTATACACGCTGCGGTCGAAGTTCTATATTAGAACTGAAATTTCTAAGTCACAGCGTTCAACAGTATGCAAAAACTTTAGCTAAGTTTTCTTTGTTTTCGCAGTCTACAAATTCTAGAACTTCTAACCACTCTTTCGAAAATAACAGAAATGACATTGTTTATAAAATTGTATTCCAATACTTTTCATCTTCCAATTCACTGCAAAATAAGGAAATTTTAACTAGATTTCAAGCCTTAAAGAAAACTTACTTTAATAACCCTTCAATATTTGAATCTGCCATTTTGAAATTTAAAATTTATTTTGAATTGTTAATTTTAAAAGAAAGAAAAAAATTTCATGAGAAAGGGACAAAGCTTATACTAGAGGTGGGCGCTACATTTCTAACATTTCTTTATTGCAGGTTGAATTTCCGAACGCACGTAATTGCAGCCAGTAATTCCCGAACGATCTATATTTTCAGGATATTTAGCGTGAATTTTCGAACATACTACAAGTTAGAACTATTCTAGAACTGAATAAACGCAAACTCCCCTATATTTATATGTTTTATACAATTTTTGTTAACTGGCTACTAATATTCGAGAGCTATTCAACATCTATTTTCTAAAATAAAAATTGAGGCAAATAATAAATTTTATAACTAACAATATTTAACTTCTCAATGTTCACCAGGTCTCTATTAATTATTTTGTACACTTCATTACATGAGCCCATAATAAATAACATACAAACGTACGTATACATTATTCATAATAGCAATCTAGCTCAGATATTATAATGGCGTAATATTGAATAGGTTGCCTTAGCGATTATAAATTTTTTTTTTAATTCAAGTAACTTTTAGCAAGGAACAAAAGCAAAAAAAAAATTTTTTTTAATAGAGGTCCTTATTTGAAAAAAATTTCAACTTTTCCTTATTTATGCTGTTTTTATTTTACTTGTGAATATTTTATTATGATCTGATTTATGAACAATTTTCACATCAGATTTCGATAAAATTTCAAAGTTTATTTTTCCCCATCTTCTTCTACAATTCGTTTCTTATTTCTATAAAAAGTTTTTGTGTCATTGAAAATTGAATTGAACTTTTTGTTTCTTTCTTTTTTTTTTTGGGCAAAAGGCCTGAAGTAATTTTTGGTATATATAGCTGTATAAATTTTAGGTGGCTAAAAAGTAAAGAAAACACAGAATATCTTAGATAGCGCAATTCGGTAGTAAGCCCAGAGTCGTAAAAAATAAAAAAATTGGAAAATTTGGAAAAAGAAAAATATTTTTTTTTTTTATTCACAATAAAATGTACGCACTGCAGTAAAATTTATATCTTAAAATGACATTATTTTATAAGTACACATGTATGTTAGTTACTCTACATTAAAAAGTATAAAATCAAAAAGTGTAAAAAAAAGGACTTTCAATATAGTCGTTAAATATTTTTAGGTTCTCTGAGTTCAGCTGAACATTATGAATTTTGGCTTTTATTTATTTTTTTTTTTTGGTTTTATTTTCTTTATAGGTTTTCATTATTCTATTTACAATTTAATAATAGTCACCCAGTCATCGATTATAAATGAAATAATAGAAAAAGAAAAAAATATAATATGATTTTAAGGATAATATAAGGATAATATAAATGGGATATAAAAGGTGACATATGAGTCCTTTATTTTTTTTTATTTATTTTTTCATTTATATGCCGTTTTATTGTTGTTTTCGTTATTGTATTTTTTCTCTTATTTCTCCATTAATATTAGTATTTTGGTCAATATTCACCTTAATGTAATTTAAGAATAATAATATTAGATATTTGGTAATTTATCCAGGTATTAAGATATTTGATAGTCATATAGGCTCTTATTTCCCTATAGATTTAAGAGAAAGTAAATTTTTGTCCTTTATTTTTGATTTATTCCGTTGATGTCAAAAATGTTCAAGAAAAATTGGATAGATAATTGGTTTTTTACTTAGAATATGTGGGTTTTGTGAATTATATTGTTCTTGTAATATTATATGGTTTTGTTTCGGTAACATGATATTTTCTGATTACATCCCTCATATTATACTAATTTTCTCTAGGTTCTATTGTTATTATACAATATGCGTTGTACTGTGTCCGTTTTGACTTACAATGTTATGCCGATTATTTTTAAGCTGATACCATATCCATAATGAAATTCCAAAAATAGATTCATTTTGTTTAAGACAAATTCAATAACACAATAAGTTAAGACAATAAGTGTAAGGAGATCAATAATTTGTAAAGAATCTGAAAATGTTGTTCTCACCTATCGATCGTACTCATTTTGAATACGTTCATCCAGACCATCTCATAACAATGTTCATATTAACGAAATTCTGTTAATTTAGTTTATTTTGATTGACCTTCAGCATTTTGGAAGTAAGTTCATATATTAATTGTCTTATATCAAGCTTTAAACCTAATCGTCGCAGGCTGAAATATTAATTTTTCAACTTATGAAATCCGGCTTGATTACTTCCGACATTTTACTGGCGCTAGTAAAGTTAAATTTCTGGCGTAATACAATGTTTTTCTGGTTCTTTTTTTGTTTTAATACGATTAATAGAGTACTGAATTTGTGGAACATATACGGAAACATACCTGAGTTGATATTAACAAATTCAATGGAACTCAATCTCATTTCCTAAAAAAAAAACTGCTGTTACTCAGTAAATCTGCATTTACTAAAAGAAAATCTTATTTAAACACCAAGAATATAAAAATTTTCTATAAAATTTTTTAAAAATCTAAAAAATTCTTAAAGCTAAAAATTCTCTTTAAAGGCAAACTGAAATTTAAAACTCTTTTTTGAATTTGTACACATAGAAAAAAAAACAACAACAAACTATAGTAACATTATTACAATAATTATAAACTGATTGTTTCGTAAGGCTATTAATCTTTTTGGTACCCTTGTTGTTGGGATTTCCATTCTTTTAAAATAAATTACCTTTGAGATGATATCTTTTATTACTTCGATCAAATAAATCAATTTCAAACAAAAATAATAAAAAAATACGAAGAAAAAAAATGTAAATAATTAAAAAACTAAGTATAATTGTGGAGGAAAGTTGTAGCTTCCTATTATAAGTAACCGGAAACAAATATTGTTATAGCAATCAAATTTGTTAAAATACCTGAAATTAATGATTAGCTTTTTCTTTTATTAATCTTTCAAATTATTGTTCTTTTAAGAATTAGTTTAGACATAATGTATTCTTTTTTTTTTAAAGTTATATACTCTACGCGAGCTAAAACAGCTCATTTGAGATTGAATTAATAAATAAATAAATAAATAAATAAATAAATATATTGAAAAGTGATTGTTTACAAATTCCTTAAACTGTTAGTGTTTTTTTTTAGGCGAAAAATACTTTTCTATACTTGTGTGTGCTTTTCTATACTTTTCTATATTTTATTCAATTTCAAATTAATGCCCTAAATTATGCATGAATCTAATAATTAAAGAAAATATTTAAGTCAGAAATTAAATTATTATGAAACTTGTACTCAGAAGGATGCCACAGTACCACAACGTTGTAATTTTTTTTCGTTACTTATATGTATTAATGTTGTTAATAGCAAAACTTGCGTTAAAGTCACTTTTGCCAAAAAGAATCTGTTTTTACACGCAAACAAACCCCTGTAAAACAAAATTCCCCTTAACACAAATTTTCCTCTTGTATTTTGTATTAT